AGGAAAAAGAAAGTACTGGAGAATAGCTGGTACTGAGTTTGGAGCAATACGAGCTATCCATAGTAAGATATATCACGTACCTAGGTACACTACTGTAGGTTCAATATATTCGCAGGCGGACGCTAGACAACCTTAGAAATCAGCTGGCAATAGGTGCACTGGAAGGGAAATCGAAGTGTGTTACAGGTCCACTATACATTACCTATATACTTGGAAGCGTGGTGGCGCGCTATTTTAGGTACTTAGCGCAGTGGTTGTGACGTCGGCAGTGCATTAGGTTGGCACTGCCCGTAGCATCGGCAGCCACGGGTGAAGGCGAAGGCGGGTTGCCCGACGCTGCGGATCCGTGGATCTTTGTTAAACTTGTCCGCGTGCTTCTTTCCACGATTCAACACCTACACTACACTACATACATCAGATACAGTACATGCGATTAATCAACAACGCACACACACACACAATCTCTACTCTACACTACCTACACTACACTACCTACACTACACTACCTACACTACACTACCTACATGCGCCCCAGCTCACCAAGTACACAATCCGATTTCATAGACGCGCGACGCAGATCCTGACCGATCTTGGCGTAATGGAACCTATGATTGTATTTTAATTTCCCTAAGCACCTCCTCAGGTACCTATTCAAGCTATCTAAGGTACATACCATCCTCCACTACGCCAGAAGCTCCCCCCTGCTCTACGAATAGTGTAGTTTCTGAGACCCTTGCCGATCCTCCTATCCATGACCTAATCTGCCATGTCTCGTTGAAGAATTTCCCGACGCTTCGCTATCGACCGTAGCCCGCGACCCTTGTCTCAGCCTCAATGAGCTGTATTCGCGCTCTCGCAACCGTCGACAAGTAGGATCATAAACCATGCTTCTCCTACACCAGGTCGGCAGCGTCAAAATCGGTGAAGTCGTCCGCTATACAGTAACCTACTCGCCCTCGCACGATCGAATCCTACCCTCGCCCGACGTCCTCCACCTGCGCATCCGCAACACCTCCCCTATTCCTCTACGAGCCGCCTTTGTCCACGGACCGTATACCCTTTGTGTATCCTCGTACCCGGCCCACTTCGATCCGAATGTCAAGTTTGAGAATCCTAGGCGGTATGGCGTTCCTGAATTCGAGCCCATGCTCAAGGCTGGAGGCACGTGGTCATGCCAGTTGATCGTGCCGGACGACATTCGGGAGAGCGCCGGAACGGGGGCCGCGAAAGGTGATTTTGGCCATCACAATGGGGGCCAAGAAGCTCCGAAGAGTGCGAGTTGGGTCGTGGAGATTGCAAGCCAAGTCATCTTCTCCGCCAGTGCAGCTGTAGGGTACGAGGTCTTGCTTGCGCGAGACGAGAAAAGCTTGAATCTAGGTGGTGTGCCAGTTATAGGCGGCCAGGCTCAGGTTCCGCAGCCTGGAAAGGTGACCGACTTCCAACAGAGCATGGGCGCAAAGGACGGCCACCACCCTGCGCAGCCGAGAGGCGTCTTCTCACGAGCAATCTCCCTGAAAGTGGAAGATACTGCAAGTATCTGGAATACCCCGCCGTTCCCTGGCAGTGACAAGCATGAGCATGGAAGACCCAAACATTCGGGCATAGAAGAGGCGATCACCAGTGTCGCAGAACCGGCAGATGCAAAGGCGGGTAAAGCAAAGGAACGGCCACCGAAGAAAGTTCACTTGGTCGTTTTAACGCACGGCCTACACAGTAACTTAGGAGCTGATATGCTATACATGAAGGAGAGTATCGACGCAGCTGCGAAGCAGGCCAAGATCGACGCAAGGGCAAGGAAAGCACGCGAGAGAGCCAAGGTTAGCGAGCAGAATGGCACTCAACCGGAGACCCATGAAAAGCAGCCTGAAGGGAATTATAGTGCTCACGGTGACGAGGAGGATGAGCATGATGATGAAGAAGTCATAGTACGAGGCTTCTCAGGAAATGCCACTCGAACAGAAAGAGGCATTAAGTTTCTCGGGAAGCGTTTAGCACGTTGGGTGCTTTCCATAACGTATCCAGATCAGCCCTTTCTACCACTAACGAAGAAGGCAGCGACCGAAAGTATTGTCAATGCGTTCAAAAGCGACGATGGGAATAGCGACGGAAATGGAAAACCAGCACACAAGCACAGCACTATACACATGGGTCAGCATCACGAAGACGATCGCGAATTCCAGATTACCAGCATTAGCTTCATCGGACACTCTCTAGGAGGCCTTGTTCAGGTATATGCTATTGCATATATTCAGAAGCACTCCCCTCGATTCTTCGACCTGATACGACCGATCAATTTCATTACGCTTGCATCACCATTATTAGGCCTCAGCAACGAGAATCCGCTTTACGTCAAATTTGCCCTCGACTTTGGCCTTGTCGGCAGAACCGGACAAGACTTGGGCCTTACTTGGCGAGCACCGACTCTCGCCAGAAGCGGCTGGGGCGCATTAGTTGGGACTCTTGGGGAGAGTGCTCACAAGAAAGTAATGGGAGAGGTACAACCAGAGTCGAAGCCCCTTTTGCGCATCCTACCCACCGGCCCGGCGCACACAGCTCTAAAGAAATTTCGCAATCGGACCGTTTATTCCAATGTGGTGAACGATGGAATTGTGCCATTACGCACAAGCTGCCTATTGTTTCTAGATTGGCAAGGGCTTGGACGGGTAGAGAAGGCTCGACGGGAAGCCGGCTTGGTAGAGACAGTTGTTGGCTTCGGATGGGCAGAATTAACAGGTGCTAACGTGTCGTCACGAAGGGGCCCCTGGTCGCCAACAACTGAAGAAACCCCATCATCGTCGCCACAGTCCGGCCTCGATTCTGAATCGTCTCATAGCGACTCTCATGAAGTTCCTCAGCCTTCGACTAATGCTACTGTGGAAGATGATAGACGTAGCCTGAATCTTGCAACTCCTCCGTCAGAAACAGGGGGGACGACCCAAAATTCTCAGACGAACAACGACTTCCCGTTCTCTGGATTCTTCAATTTCTTCAGGTCCAGCGAATCATCGGCTCGTAAGACGCCACCCCATTCTCCTCGAGAGAAGAAGATCTACCAGCGCAGCCAAACCTTGAAGATAGACGCAAGTGCAGATTCAGCATCGCCAAGTAGGTCAAAGGTGTCTTCTGGTCATGAGCTTAGCGAGGATCCTGCACATGAGGTTTCTGCTCCTCCGAAAACAACGTTCTTTGAGTCCGCAGGCGACCTTCTAAACCCCACGTTGCCTACGGTTGAGTACCTCATTGATCCTTCGAAACGCCCCCGAACGATTTTCCATGATCGAGTGTATCATCCCTCCGATATCCCACCACCACCACTCAAGAAACGCACAACAAAATCGCTCACTTTCCGAAGTAAACCAAGCTCCACGAGCGCCTCCTCGTCTTCCAAAGAAGGAAACGGAAAGATAACCTCACCAAATCCGGCACTCCCACATGCAGATTCCGAAATGTCGAGTCGTGATTATGACGACCCCATGCATACGGATCCTGACAGAGACACCGACGAGGTCATCGACAGCTCCAGCATGAAGGTTGAGGAGAAGATCGCCCGAGCGTATCACCGCGGCTTGAGTTGGCGGAAGGTTCTTGTCAAATTAGAGCCGGATGCGCATAACAACATCATTGTGCGCCGCAAATTTGCCAATGCTTTTGGATGGCCTGTTGTGAAACATCTAGTCGATGCCCATTTCAGCGACAGCGCAGCTGCACGTACGAGCGACGAAGCTGAGAAAAGTGAAGACCGTGCGAAATCACTGCACCAGGCGCCTGATGAAACTGGTGCTGAGACCTACACACAACAGGATGCACAAAAAGGGAAAGGCATAAGTTCTGGGGATAACAAAACGAGTCATAAGCACACTGCAAGTGAGGCTTTTGAGGCTACAGACACTGTGCCAGATCTACCCTCGCTAGCCCAGGAGAGGAAATCCGCTCCTTACAGTTCAAGGGACTCCCCCACCCGCCCTGCGTACGATAGAATCGATTCTGCAAGCTGGAGTGATAGAGATTTTGCCGACAGCGGTGACGAAAGTGAAATAGATCTGGGCATGGCGTATGGGAGACGTCTCGAAATTCAGACAACACAAGAACAAAAGGACAACGACACACCAAGAGCCAACAGTCCGGGCTGGAATTGGACGGAGAAAATCGTAGGAAAGGGTGCTGGAAAGAGAGCAAAGGGTCCCAAGAGTCCTAAGAGTCCTCAGAGTCCCGTAAGTCCGGGGCCAGAGCATGAAAGCGAAACCGTACCCGAACAGCAGGAAGCACAAAATTGATGTAGCCTCTTCCAGGACCGTTGTTAAAATATAGAAATGGCTTACTAGTCTGGGATAAGCGATCTTGATAGAGAGGAGCATGGGCATTTCGGCACGGCGTGGCATATTAGATTTCTGGCAGAGCGACATTGAATGGCATGATCAGGGCTACTCCAAAGATGGCATGTGTAGCGGCTCGGTTCTAGTGAGCGGCATACACGTAATATCCCATACGTATATATATACCTTTTGTAATAGTTATCAAGTATTCCGCATTTATATCATATTAATACATATTGGATCTAACTTTCAATGATACGTGGTTTGTTAGATATAAACATGTCGATCTAGTATACAACGAGGTTGCAAATTGTCCATCTACCATCAAGCCGTATACTAATATGAAGGAAGTGTAGCGACAACAAAATGTAAGTCACGACAGCTCTTCAGGAGGTCTGAGGCCGTGGTGGTAAGCAATGCTGAGTAGACGAGTAAGAACCACCGAGCTTCTTCGAAATTCAAGGGACGACTGCTGTTATGGAAATCACTCTTTCCCAAGGGCGTGCTAGATAAGGCACGTAATCTTTTCCTATTGTGTTGAAGTCGTTCTTTCCATATTTTACGTACCTTCCTAGAAAACTCATCTATCGTCTGGAGGCAATCAGTACCGCTTTCCCTGATATACCTCAATCACGCATAGCTCTTCCAACAAACGGGCAAACCGCCGTATAGCCAGGTAGTGCAGTGGTCATGCTAGAGGAAAGGTTAACTCGTCGGTCTTACACCAAAAGTGCGCACCGAAAATTCCTGGTTCGAGTCCAGGGCATGGCAGTATTCTTTTGGTCTTCCGTGCTACCATTTTTACCCCCTGTTGCGGCACCTACCTACATAGGTACCCAAAGTATCTGGTCGTCGGTCACCTTGGATATTGGGGGTTTTAGGAGCGATGTTGGAAGCTGTTATACATAAAAGTTCGCAGTTTTACGCTTGACCAAATCGTCGCTTTGGATTATGGTCACATGAACATCTAGGTCTACATGTATTAAGGGCGATCACCGTATCATCTCATCTGTACGACTCTCTTACCCCCTTTGCGTGGACTTCTATTTCTTGGTCATCTATTAACTCGTTGTCTGTTACTCACACCATTTCAATAATTAGAGATGCACGTATTCACCTAACCTACCTGGTAGCTATAACATTGTCCATCCAGGAATGATAAGCTATAAAGGGAAGCCGCAGTTTGGAGCGTTCTAGTCGGGTAAAGCCAAGAGTATATTCACCAACTCACGTCATTAAGCGAGCCCTTATGAGATGTAAGGGACAGCCGGGTTATTTGACCGCAGCAAAGTGGAGGACAATAAGATGACGCGCCGTGTGAGATGAACCGGCAGTTTCTGGTCTCTATGTTGGTGAGTCTTAGGTTGGTTTGAACACTGACTTATTCATGTTATTTCCCTTTATCCGTCAAGACTATATGTCATAAACGCTGAATCCGTTTCTAAGCACGCTTGGGAATTTCAGTGCTGCTGCAAGGTCTGGAGCTACGTAGGTACCTAGATGAATAGGGAGGTAACTTAGCACAGAGACTCTGCCTTAGCCGGACACTCACGTCTCTTTACTGTTCTCATAGTTCAGATAGACAGTTCCTAGCTAAGCTCAGAGCCGATTTGGAATGTAGACGTGTGTCAAACAGTTAGGTAGGGAGGTTAGGTACATACATTAACTATTAGTTAGCTGTTCTTGGGATAACTCTCCTCTACACTATGGACCCTAATACTATGCACAGCAACCTAAAACCGACGCCGAATCCAGTACGAGTTATTATAGACACCCCTAGGCCACCCATGGCACTGCTCCGACGATTTCAAAGGCCCTCCAGCTTCCGTGAGGTAGGTAGCTCAGCAGCCCGACCTCGTTATTGATCTATGATGTACATGCAAAGGTGGGCGTCGTTCCCTAGGCTCAACTAGATGGGGGTCAATGTAGGAAAGGGAGAACAGCAGCCAGAAGGGGTGCCAGCAACGAAGGAATGAAGGACCCGTTCTATTTCAATTGAAGCCGATCTCGACAGGAGAACCAGTTCGTCCTGCGTCCCTAGGTAGGTACCTATCCGGTCTGTTTCGAGCTTTAGGGTTCGCGTCGCATACCGCTGACCCTGCATCTCAGCGATATGCTCTATAATACTCTGTGCTGGGTGGTGGTTCACGTCGCCGGCTTGCTCGTTTGTATCGGCTACTTCGCAGACGTGACTATTCGCACGGTGGAGCTATCCATCTGGGCATATCCCAAGCATCGCGATCTCTGCATGATTCCGTATGTTTCCGGGGCCCGATGTCCCGCACCAGACCCATCGTTCAACTGCTTCCTGAGTTCGAGCCGCCGTGTTCCCATTACTTAATGTAAAGCACGTCGGTGCTTATCCTGATCATTCCGTCGTCCGGTCGTGAGTTGAAGCCATGCATGTATGCGAGTAACCCACTCATCTGCCGGTTATGAAAACAGATGGAACACTAGGGCTATATCAGATAGCTAGATGTAATAAAGCGAACCGATCTGTGTTCCATAATGACCCTTGAGTGTCGTCATCGACGGGTAGAAACCAAGCGGCCGTAGTGTAGCTAGCTGCTGAATTAACAGGAGTCTACCGCTTGGAGGTTGTGGAAAGTGGCCGGCTCCGTCTGTAATCTCTTCCACCGGACCGGCTTTCCAGTGGTGCAGCGATGGCGCAGCGTCTTCTGGTTAGGCCAAGTAAGGGGAACTCGGTGTCAACACGGAAACATCTCTACCTACGACGGCGACAGGCTCGGTCAGTGTGCTATGAGGGGCCATCCCAGCACGGGATTGGCGTTCCTTGGCGCGCCACAATTCGGTGCGAGCCGAGATCATACATGACTTGTCAGGGTATCTTACGCCGTGTAACTAAGCACTCCGGCCGCCGAGAAAAGATTGAAGGATCAAGCCCGTTTGCAGTTGCCACGTCCCTAGCTGGCAGAGCTGACGCGTACCGGTCTCAATTTCCAGTTGCGGTGATTTCTGTAGAGACGCCGGGATACCAAGACAGTTCTCTCCGACAAGGGAGTGTATGATGCTCCTTAGATCCGGCACATCTAGTACGTTGTCCGCCTAGCTACAAAGAAACCAGGCCCATGATCTATCTCAGGCACAGTCAGGGATAAGCGGGACGCAACATTGTGGAAGCATTCGTGGGAGGTTACACAGCAGAGAGGAAAACTAAATTTATATAGAAGAACACCCGGTGGCGACCGTAATCAGGAAATCCAGCCCACAGGGTGAGGAGAAGGGGACAGGGTGCCACTTCGACAGGCTTCCCCTCAGCCGTCTCGACAAAATCCGAATCAGCCGTTGGGGAGTTGTAGATTCTGGTAGGCTCGCATCCCAGGGCTAGCATGTGAGATATAGTGCGGCTCGCTATAAGCAAGTTTACCTGGAGATCGGGTGCATAACTAAGCTCACACCAACACGACCAAGCGCACCCGCGTATCGGCTTACATCTGGTATATCGGCGTATCTCGCCGCCCTGCATTGAGAATGCAGAAGAGTTGGGTGGACGAGGAAGTAAGGAGTCGAAGAAGGTAATCAGATAATACTTAGCCTTTGCATTGACCGGATGCAAGCCGACGAATTGGGACCCTCGCTGCCAGCATGTGAAGACGACGTACGCAGTGAGTTCTGCCCATCTACGTTCGGATTGAAACGGGCTTTATCCTGATCCCTCCCGAGTTTGGGACGCGACGAACTTGTTGCTGTTCCTCGACCCCCCCGACGCATCTACCCGGCCGACAGGAATGGAAGCTGAGCCCGTAGGGTATGATGCTCGGTATGGTTCACGCCGATCCAGATTCCAAGCTATGCAAGCCAAGGAACTGGGTTAAGTTGGGAAGCCTGGGAAATCTGTCTGAGGTACCTGTTCCGGGCCAGTTACGACTGCAGGATCTCTTTGATTACCGGCGGGCGCTTTCCCTTACATCGAAAGCTCTTGGCTCGATGACAAGGCTGCGATATACGACTCTTGATGTCATAAAGTTTTCTAGTAATCTCTCGATCGGGAATGGAGCCAAGGATCGGGCATGGCTCTAGCCCCTTCACTCCCCAGTCTAGCTGAAGCCTGGGAAATGGTACTATAATAAACCTTGGCGCTGATAAGAAACTGGTCTAGCGCTAGCACGACGATGAGATAGGATTGATTCCTGGGAAACTGGGTAAAGAAAGTAGACTCCGTGGGATCGCTCACTGTCAAGGAAGGGATGTTTCCGCGTGCCTGAAGGGTCCATATTCTACGCTACAGGTAAGACTGCGTGCTTATGGCTGTAGTTGTTTTGGCCTGGGGTATTAGCCAATAGCGGAGGAAGATGGTGACATGATCGTCGACACAGATGGCGGCGGAGGTGGTTTCCATTTAGTCCGGCTGCTACGGTGTATGGGGGTTAGCTGCGTCTTATCTAATGCGAATCCCAAGCCTCTAGGCTCATTGAAGGTCTGCTATGTTCGAGACGTCTCTTCCATCTGGCCAATTCCCAGCATTTCATCAGAATGATGACGATGACCATGGTGACAAGGTCCGACATGATGTATCATCTAGATCGAGGAAGATATGCGCAAGTTTCTCTACCCACCCAAGGTATGGATTCCCATAGGAGATTTAGGCTCCAGAGGAACGGTATGCGCCGTGTCGACTGTAGCAATTTCGCTTCAGCCATTCCGAGCCAGAACTTTCATAGCCCCTGCCACGGCGCGGAGCGAGGACCTAAAGGTAAGGTGGTTGTCCCTTGCAAGCCTTCAGCTTGCGTGTGCACGCCCTTTGAGGGTTGCTTGGGTATGCTTCTTGACCATGGCTCAACTCCGCCCTCCGATATTGTATCGTATCCCACGCCAGCCGTATGTAGGGGTGGTAGCAAGCAGACCCCCTCGGATGTGCAGTCAATCAAACAGTTAATATCTGGAGTCCGTGACGAACCATTGATAAGGCGCATACTTCCCCCACAGCGTATTCAATGGACTAGCCGAGATCTCCAACCCCCAATCGACCCCCATTCGCTTATGCAGTATCGAGGTTCGAGATAGGATGAATTGCGGCCACCACGTCGGCATCCTTGGGGCTTGACCTCCGACAAGTCGTGATGAAGCGAGCTCTATTCTACGATGGTGATGACCAGGCGAGTTCCGAGCTCGAAATAGCAACAACATCGTCGGATTTTCCTCATTGAGGAGGATCTGCGAGGGGACTTGCTCATAGTCGAGATCCTTGCGATCTCTCAGCTCGCCAATCTATCTCATACATAAAAACAAAATGAAATTTGCTGGCGTATGCGGCGTATGCGGCCTACCGTCGTATTATCTCGAAGTTCTAGCCCCGCGCTGAGAGGCATAAGCCGGCAAAGACAAATTCGTTCCAATAATACAAATTCCTTGCAGGCGCCACAATCAGAGAGCGCCAATAGGATTGGACCCTGCTAGCACTGATAATAACGAGAGCAAACTATTCAGCCCGCAAACGACCCCAGCGTCGATGATTATCAAGGTTTGAAGTTTGACAATCCGGGGAGACAGGCCGAAATGCCGGCTAGGGCCCGTGAGAAGAAGTAATACCTAGGTGTTCATGGGTACTCACGGTTGAAGCGAACGTTGTCGAAGGTTGCAGCACAAACGAGAATTTCGCTTCGCAAAGTGAAGATGACAAGCCTCGGAGATCCTCAACTGCTGGCGTTACACAACGCAGGAGTTTGATCCCTCGTTTCTGTGCTTATGTAAATAGCCGTCCAACCGAACCGATCATATAGGTACATACTTTTGCTGAGCACCTACTTAAG